ATTTAAAGTTTTTTTGACTTTTGCACGCTCTAAAAAACTAAATTAGCGTTTGGGAAGTTAGCTTCCTGATCAATATATTTTTCATATCTTTTTTGTTTTTCGGTGGGATAAAAAATTTTATAAAAAACTAGACCCAATCAAGCAAAACCGATGACATTCGGAATCAGCATCACAAACTTACCATAAATCGGTGTAATATCATTGACCAGAAAATGAGTGTTGACCAGTGTTATTATATTCATGGGAAAGCGTTAAACACGTAGGAGGTCATATAGCTTCTTAGAAATGACAGACAATCCCTCCGAGAGGGTAATCTTAGAAAAATAAATAGAAAGGTTCCCTGGAAAAATCTTGAGAATTCTTTTTGTTGGCGTTCGATTGTTATATTCTCCTACTCCCAATTATTTTTCTTTAAAGCTCTTGTATTCTCTTCCAACAGCGTAAGTGGCTAGAGATCTGTTAGCGCACGACAAATTGATCCTCCACTACCCCTTGCGATGAATAACCCACAAGAACTGAATGCAAAAAACAATGAATATGTCGAAGATGTGTAGGCACTCACAGAATTAAGTCTTAAGAACTGTTATTACTATTTTTCATGGGGTATCGTAAACCTATAAGGAGGTAACCAAGTTTGGTCCCAGGAAGAGAAGGGTAGCTACATTTCTTTGGCTCAGAAGCCCTTCACCTGTATCAAAGCACCTTCCTTGAAGGGTCCCCATGAAAAAAACCTTCCTTAAAGTGTTCCTATGAAAGCAACTTCTTTAAAGTGTCCCCATGAAAGCACGTTTGAAGAGTTCCCATGAAAGTGGCTTCTTTGAAGGGTCCTTACGTAAAGATCTGAGGTCCAGCTCTGTCGTGTTGGACACTGATCTCCCACACCCGCTGGAAGCTGCCCATGTCGATGAGTCCCTTTATGACGACGGCGATGAGGCCCAGGATGAGGATGAAGAGTTGCAACACGTCAGTCCACACCACCGCTTTCATCCCTCCCTGTGACAAATTAAAGTTATGTTAATGGTACATAATACCGACAAATAGGCTATGGGACTGAACACCTTCCGTCAAGTCTAAGGGACTGAACACCTAATAATTACCTCTTTCCTTCTTCCATTGCCTCTAGCTTCATAACAGTAACTCCTGCATTCGACTGAAGAAACATGAGTCTTACCCACCAACAAGCAACAACACGTTTCAATATCTGGCAGTCTTCCTTTCTTATATTTTTTAAAGTTATTTAAGTTATCAAAGTGAATATTTACTAGACATAAAGTAGTAAGTTGCAACGACCTTCCATAATAAAAAAATATTTCATTACTGGAGTTACATGAAGTAGTAGTAGGTGGCGTTGTAGTGGTAGTAGCAGTAGTATTTTATTTATTAATTTATTATTATTATTATTATTATTATTATTATTATTAGAGTTATGGTAGTACTAGACTATTACTAGCACCTGAAGTTGTAGTAATAGTGACTGTAGCAAAAGATGACGTTGCAATACAGTAATAGAAGTAGTGGCTACTGTAATGTAAGTATTATCATTATAGTGACAAAAAGGACAAGTGGTGTTGCAGCAGCTGGTGAACCTCTGTTCTCCCTCATGTCTCACTGGTGACGCTGGTGATGGCCACAGGTGCACGCGTGTAAAGTTTGAAACTGTGAGTGTGCACCTTTGTACTTCTAGGTTTCAATCTAAGTTTCCTCGGGGATATTGCTGTAGTTAACTAGCGATCTGTATTGATCCCATACCCATCCAGTTGTTGTGATTTGATTGCCTAAAATGAAGCCAAAGAATATATGCTACCAATATCTTTGTATAATCGTGAATTTGTTTGTAAATTCAGTCGGTCATCTCCAAACTGCTGTACTAAGTAAAATTTCATATTTCATTTACGTCTTAAAGTCAGGCCTTAAGATTTAATTATATAAAAAAAATGAGTCTTGGTGTACACGGCATTAGCTAAGCAAGAAGACCTACACGACTCTTAACAAGACTCCAGGTTAGTATTGTGAAAAAAATTGTATAAGCACGCATTTAGTTATGCAGATAAGTGCAACACTGCCTTAAAACAAATGATAAGATATAAGAAGATCCCCCCCAAAAATTGGAAAGAATATAAGCGAATGAATTATTGGCTTTCCGTTACTCTCGTGACTGTGTTGGCTGATGAAAACCCCTGTGGGAAGCAACGTTGCCGGCGGCTTGAACGAACCCAAAGGAAGGTATCCAGAGAATATATATACAATGAAACCTCGATTGTCGAATGCCTTACTTGTTGAACAAATCGGGTTTCGAATAAGGAATTCGAGAAAGAAATGTACTGGTTTTCGTACGTGCTCTTGGTTATTGATGGACAACGCGAAAGGGACAGTGCGGCTCCCAGTGAATGAGTCCACAGCATGGGTCTCAGTATAGCCACTAACTCACGTACTGTAAACATCTCTTTAGGTTTTGTTGTGCATCTTGTGAACTTTTTTTTTTTGTTATTTTGCGGCTTGGGTGCAATTTTTTTTATTGTGGGATAAGCCATCATGAGTCCAAAGAAGGACAATGAGTTGAAAGCAAAAAGAAAAATTGTAAAGAGCACTGCTGAGTTAAAAAAAAAAGTTATTCGAAAGTATGAGGACGATAGGCCCCTGTGTGGTTGATATAGCAAAACTTTCTAGTAAATCAGCTTCTACTATCAGCACGATACTGGGCCAAAGGGAAAAATTTAAAGAAGCTGATCTTGCAAAAGTCGCGATATTGATATCAAGGTAAAGGTCACAAATGACTGAGGGGGTTGAAAAACTCAGTGATAGTGTTTCAGAGGCCATTATTTGTGAAAAAAGCGAGTCAGTTGAATTATGACTTGAAAAAAACCGGAACAAGGGCTAAAATGCAATCCTTCAAGCTAGTAGGGGTTGGTTTGATATTTTTAAGAAAAGAAGTGGCATTCATAGTGTGGCTAGGCATGGGGAGGCTGCTAGTGTTGATAAAGTGGCTGTTGAAAAGTATGTTGCTGAGGGAATTCTCTCCAACACGTGTTGAATTGTGAGACGAGACAGGCCTTTTCTGTAAGAAAATGCCCAAGAGGACCTACAAATGAAGAGAAAAGGCAATGAAAGACAGACATGCTCTGTTAATGAGTGGTAATGCAAGTGGGGACTTGAAATTGAAACTCTTACTTGTTTACGATTCCGAAAATCCACAAGTTTTTAAGAAGAACAATATTATGAAAAGCAAATTGGCTGTAGTGTGGAGGGCTAACACGAAAGCTTGGGTAACAAGAAAGTTTTTTATTGAGTGGGTTCATGAGGTCTTTGTTCCCACTCTCAAAACGTACCTCATTTAAAAACAATTACCATTCCGGGCCCTTTTACTTATGGATAATTCTCCTGCTCACCCTCCAAGCTTGGAAAAAGAGCTGCTGGAGCAGTTCAGTTTTATAACTGTGAAGTTCTTGCCTCCTAACACCACTCCTCTCATCCAGCCGATGGACCAGCAAGTCATTTATAACTTCAAGAAACTCTACATCAAAGCACTTTTTAAATGATGCTTTGAAGTCACTTCAGAAACAAATTTAACCCTCAGGGAGTTCTGGAAGGACCTTTTCAATATCGTCACATGCTTGAAGCTCATAGGAAAAGCCTGGAGAGATGTATCTTCCAGGATCATGCAGTCAGCGTGGAAGAAACTGTCCTGAGTTCGCGGCAGCGAAGGATTTTGAAGGCTTTGAAGATGAGCTCGAGCCAGTAAAGGATATTGTGTCCCTGGGCCTAGAGGTGACCGAAGATGATGTGGAGGAGTTGGTGGAGGAGCATGGAACTGAACTCACCACAGAAAGAATACCAATAGATTGCAGTGGAGGAGCTGTCATCAGAGGAAGAGAAGGGAGGGGATAATGTGCCCATTGCACTTGTCAAGGGAATATGTGCTAAATGACGTGAAGTGTAGGAGTTTTCTGAAAAATACCATCCAGACAAAGCAGTGGCCATCCGTCTCTCTAACACGTACGATGACAGTGTAATGTCTCAATTTAGACAAGTGTTAAATCAGAGCCTGCAACAAACCTCACTGGACACGTTTTTAGTGAGACAAAGAACCAGTGAGCCAGAACAAGGTGTTAGTAGTGAAAAGAGACAAAGAAGAGAAACAACACCAGAAGGAGAGTTGCCTGACTCTCCTTACAAGCAATAACATACCCCTTCCTTTCCTCCACCACTTATTTCCAGTATGACATTAGCTCTCCTCTGACAAGCACGAGACAGTTAAATTTTCATTTACTATACAGTATTTCAGTTAAAGTTTTCTTTTAGCATTCATTTTTAGAGTTTAATGTAGTAGTATATTTTTAGCAACTTATTATATTGTCATTTGAGGTCTGGAACTGATTAATTCTATTTACATTTTTCTTTATGGGAAAAACTACTTTGATTGTTGTCCGTTTTGGTTGTCGAAACGACATCTGTAACGAATATATATATATATATATATATGTCGTGCCGAATATGTAAAACTGGTCAATTAGCAAGAACTCATTTAAAATTAAGTCCTTTCTAAAATTTTCTCTGACACGTTTTAAAGATATATTTTTTTCATTAATGTTAATGTAAAAATTCTTAATTTTGCTCCAAAAGAATCTTAGAAAACTTACCTACCTTATTATAACAAGAACAATTTATTTTAGCTTAACCCAACTAAATATATTTTAGATTTATTTACAATAATTTAATACTAAACAAACACAGTGAAATATATTTTTTTTCGTTAGGTTCAGATGATTTTGGCGAAAATTATTGCATACACAAAATTTTCGCTTGTCCTATATGGCAAGATGAACGTTGCTATTTAAGCCAAGATCGCAAGTTCTGCCTATTCGGCACGACATATATATTATATATTATATATATATATATATATATATATATATATATTATATATATTATATATATATATATATAATATATATATATATATATATATTATATATTATTATATATATTATATTATTGTACCCACGAACGAGTGGTATTAATCAATAACAACACTGCGACTAGCCTAGGATTCGAATATCTCGTTTTGGCCCACCTCATGGTGAGCGAAAATCACACATAACGCTTAACCTATGGGACCACGCAATTCTACAAGAATGACGCAACCAGCAGAGCTAGGTATTTTACCGTCATCCGAGGACATGCGGTGTTGGTGCTTTTGAGCTAACTCCATTCTACTTCCCGTTTGGTGTGTACTAGCCTCACAAGCAGCATATATATATTACTGTAACCACGATCGAGTGGTATTAATCAATAACACACTGCGACCAGCCGAGGATTGAACCCATGTCGTTTTGGCCCACCCCATGGTGAGCTAAAATCCACATGACGCTCTAATCCACAGGACCACGCAATACAACAAGAATCAAGCACCCAGCAGGCTGGTAAAACACCTAGCTCTGCTGGGTTCTTGATACTTGTAGGATTGCGTGGTCCTGTGGGTTAGAGCGTCATGTAATTTTCGCTCACCATGAGGCGGGCTAAAAGGACATGGGTTCGAATCCTCGGCTAGCCGCAGTGTTCTTATTGATTCGATACCACACGTTCGTGGTTACAATAATATATATGTGTGTGTGTGTCGAGCCAAATCTGTAAACCTTGCGATATTGGCTTAAATAAAAACGCACTTCTTGCCGAATAAGGCAAGCGAAAATTTGTGTATGTAATAATTTCGCAAAAATCATTCGGAACAACGGATAAAAATATATCATTGTGTTTGTTATAAAATTTTGTAAACTTATCCAGAACATATTTAGTTGGATTAAGGCCGGAAACTTAAATGTGCTTGTTATAATAAGTTAGGTAGTTTTCCTAAGGTTCTTTTTGTACAAAATCCACTAATTTTTTATATTAACATGACAGAAAAAAATATATTATTAAATGTTATAAAGAGAAAATTTTAGAAAGGACTTAATTTTTAAATAAGTACTTGCTAAATAACCTGAAGGTTTTTTTTAACCCATTCGACGCGAATTTATATATATAGCTCGGTATATAATATATAAAAATATATATATATATATATATAAATATATAAGTTAGTCAAAAAACGGCAGAGCAAGAACTTCCGGATTAGGCTTTTTCTGAGGCGAGGAACTTCCGGTTTAGGGTCGGCTGAGACGAGGTAACCGGTCTAGGACATGACTGGAGGGTCACCTTTTCACACCAAGGTGTTACTTCCCGGTTTTGACCAATACCTCGCCCTCGAGACTACCTCGACCCTTGCGCCCCCCCCGCAACCAATACCCCGCCCACGACCCCCCTCCTTCGCGACCCCCCCCCCCCTTCGCGCACGCCGCGCCCCCCGCCCGCCCGCCCGCGCGCCCGCCCCGCGCCCGCAGCCCGCGCCCACTTCCGAGCCCCGCCGCCCCTTCTGCTGGCGCCTTCTGCAGCGTCGTCCGGATCGCCCCCGCGCCTCGAATTTTTTTTTTCTTATGATCTCCTCGGATCAAGTTTTTTAAGTTCCCCCTCTCAATTTCACCCCCACCCCAAAATTTTCTCGATATTACCAGTTTTTGGATTCCCCCCTATGGGGTTTCGAAAGTCTCCATCTCCTTGGTTCAAGGTTTTTGGATTACACCCCCTATTGGTTTTCGAAATTTCTCCATCTCCTCGATCAAGTTTTTTTGGATTCCCCCCTATGGGGGTATTCGAAATATCTTATTGATACTCCTTCGGATCCCCCATCCCACTTTCACCCCCTCCCCCCAAAATTTCTCGATATTACCAAGTTTTTTGGATCCCCCCTATGGGGTTTTCGAAGTCTCCATCTCTCGATCAAGTTTTTTGGATTCCCTCCCCTATGGGGTTTTCGAAATTCCTCGATCAAGTTTTTGGAATCGCCCCCTCTGGGGGTAATCATGCTTACTACATGTCTGAAACATCTTCCCCTTAATTATTTTAAAATGAAACTAAAAGTTTTCCTCTGCAATAAGTTAAATGAACTAAAAAAGCGTGTTTACTCGGCGGTCAGTGATCGTCACGTCATACAAGCAAATCTTGTCGACTTACCCTCTATGTCAGTGACGTCACGCGCACACAGGCTGAATCTTTCTACACCCTTTTAGTTAATAAGGGGACTAGCAGTGACGTCACACATACAAGCTGAATCAATGTCGAATCCTTTTAGTTCAGTCAAGTTAATAAGGGGATATAGTACCTACATCATAGGGAAAACTTTTTCCACATCAAAAGCACATTTTTCAGGATAACACTAATACACAATATTGTTTTTTTTTTTTCATTATTTATTATAACAGCCATTACATTTCTGGTAAGACAAACAAATACAATTTCATAGAAAAAGCTACAATTCATTGACTAAAATCACGTAAGTAATTTTTTCTTCTCTGTAGAATTCTGTGCATTTGTTCATCTTCTCTCATCTGTAATACAATAAACTTCTGGGGGGGAAGCTGTGGATAATAAATGGGGGAATCCTCATCCAACATGAAGTAGGTTGGAATTTGTCATAAAATATTCCATCTCGCCTCCATACGCAATTATCGCAATAACAACTACAACACATTCTCCACTTCATATGAGACTGGGGAGAATGGTCGATCTCGGCGTGGTAGGAGTTACAATATCCTGGATAAAAGCGTTAACCCATCACCACTACCACCTGAGTAGGAGGCACAGTCTCACATCCCATGGGAGGTCGGGGAGAAGTCCTCGAGATGGTTAGAAGGGGTAGCAACAGCATCTCCAAATGGATGTGTAGGAAGCTGGGTGGATCTCGCTCCGAACAACAGCACCAACGTCGCAAATCATTTGCTCCTTCGGATTTGATTTGCCGCGAATAATTCCAACAACCGCATTATATTCGCAACTGCAAAGAAAAAAAATTTCTTCTCGATTAGAAGAAGAGATAAGGCATAATCTTTAATTGCATTATAAGTTTTAATTGGTTATACATTACACTTCTAAAATCATTTTATGTGTAAACAGAAAAGATTTTTTCAATATTAAACAAGAGTTCAACTCAGATAATGAACAAAAAATCAACTTACCATTTACCGCAGGTGGATTAATTCCGACATACACAGGTATGCAGTCGTCTCTCCTCCTCGCAGACACCGTCCAACGGAGTACTGAATTGGATTCATCCTTGACGCCAACTTGAATGACAGTAGATGCAAAGAGTGACCAGCACCGGGCATTTTATAGCACGTTATGACCTTTCGCCCCGCCCCTAACCTTTCGCCCCGCCTCTAAACGCCTCTACCCACCTTATAAAATTCCAATATTTTACAAACAGATTTTCATAATTCCACTTGAATTATTAGCAATAACACTTGAACATGAGGGTATATTGGTAAATGCTCCAATGAGCATATTTCATTATAAAATTGGTCATTCTTAATTTATTTTCTACCAAAATCTTAAACAAATAGGTATAATTTTATTTGACGCTATACTTTTGTTAACTTATACACAAATATATAGCATATAAGTCCGCACAACCAATGAATTTTTTCATGTGGAATCCTCTGATTAATACCGTACATGAAATTTCTCTTTTTATAAATAATTTTTCCTCATATATATTTGTATAATGTTTTAACTCCACCCCGAAACTATCGTAAATATATTAATATGTTAATTGTTCACGATATTCTAATCCAATGACCCATATTTTCATCTTGATCGTTTCAAAATCTTAATGATGAAAATTACCGGCTTAACTTTTATCCTCATAATAACTTCATTTATATTATTGCGGCAAAACATCCCAAATACGAGGCGTATCTTCCGCGTATTATGTTTCAA